AACCTCCACCTCCCAGGTTCAAGCAATTCTCCTGCTTCAGCCTCCTGTATAGCTGGTTCTGCAGCCATGCACCACCATACCCGGCTGATTTTTGTATTTTTTAGTAGAGATGGGGTTTCAGCCATATTGGCCAAGCTGGTCTTGAACTCCTGACCTCAGGTGATCCACCCACCTTATCCTGCCAAAGTGCTGGGATTACAGGTTGAGCCACCACGCCTAGCCCTAAAATCTCTTGTTCCACCTTTTCTTGTCATCCTTTGATTAAAAGGAAAACCATTTATGCTACATTTTAACATTAAAAAAAGTTATGTTTTGGATTTTCTGCACCTTTGTCCTTTAGAGTTAGAGATAATTGAGAGTTAAGTATAATCAACCTGAAAGTTGCCTTGCAAGCCACCAGGAAAGGCAGTTATTGAAGAGGCAGAAACTAGGTTCAGGATCACGTCCCTATAGTCAGGGACTATAGGGCTATAACACACCAGCTCCTAGGACTCTGCCACCTCTGCTCTTCTTTGGTCACCTGAACAAACTATTTTCCTTTTCTCAGGGCCTATGACCCTGCAGATTATGAGCATTTGCCAGTTTCTGCTGAGATTAAGGGACTCTTCCAGTACATCAGTAGGTGAGTACTAGGACTTCCCACCGTACCCTAGCATCCCTACCTCGGCCCAAACCTTTCCTACCTCTAGTCTGAAATAGGGTCATTCTCCTTAAATGTTTTTTAGCCTGAATAGTAAAGTAACTTTCTCTGACTGTCTCTACCTTCCTTTGACAATATCTCCTAGGTACACACCTCAGTTGATTGACCTGGACCACAAACTGAAGCCTTTCATTCCTGATTTTATCCCAGCTGTTGGGGATATTGATGCATTCTTAAAGGTATAGTCAGTACATCCTGAAAATGACTCCTTAACTGTTTCTTCTGATGCCCCTATTACTCTTAACGGTTCCCCTAACTTCTTTGACTAGCATTGGCTACCTCTATACATGTTCATTTCATTGGAGTTCTTAACCTTGCTCTCAACTCCAAATTATACTTATTGCTCTTAAGTAGTACATATCTCATTATATATTAACAGTTTGTCATGTATTTGCTTCCTAATTATCTGGGACAACAGGTTTATATTTAAGCTGCTATGGATCATATTTTTTATTTATTTATTTTTTTTTTGGAGACGGAGTTTCACTCTTGTTACCCAGGCTGGAGTGCAATGGCGCGATCTCGGCTCACTGCAACCTCCGCCTTCTGAGTTCAGGCAATTCTCCTGCCTCA